CCCCCCCCCCGACCCTCTCCTGTTAAGTCAGCTGCACAAGCAAACCTATTCTTGGGCAGGTGGCTCCCTCTGCCTGGTTATCCTAATGTGACGGTCCTGAAAAAAGCCACCTTGTTTGTTCTATGCTTTAAGCTGAGGAGATCAGGACCAGACATGTTGGAGTTACTCCAAAGGCATCACTGTCCTCTGAGCTGCTTTTCCAGATGAGATGCTTTTTCTAACTTGGATCAAGTGTGTTTTACATAGACAGTTGCTCTTAGCTGATCTTCTGTGGTTCTGCTTTTCAGATAGATGATCTTTCTAGCAGTGTCCTCTTATCTGTCCAGCACCCAGTCTGATGCAAGTGATGTTTTAATTACTTTTTGTAATTAAATTGTATGTGTAGAAAACATGGCCTAAGTTAAGATCACATAGACTATGTGTCTGAGGAACTTGTGTTTCAAGAACTCTCTTAAAACAGCTTTGTGCTGTCTGCTGTATTTTTTTTAACGTTCTTGGAATTTGCTGAAGTTTGTGATGCTTTTTTCATCTCATTATGAGGATATTCTGTTTTTTGTTTGCTGTCTTTTTTTTCTGAAAAATAAATATAATTAAGTGACTGGACTGCATTTTTGTGGGCAAATGATTTCATTTGTAAGCATAATAAATAACAGGTTCTAGTTAATACTTCAAGCAGGATTTTGCCAAATCCAGGTTTCTCTTAGGAAATGATTCTTACATACCACAGTTATTTTGGAAGCACTCAAGCAGGTTAGATAATAGGTTTTTGATTTTGGTTTCTGAAAGAATTCTTTTTGCGTTATGGTTTAGCACTGTTTATGTAGCCAAGATCCACATAGCTTGTCTCCTCCTCAACACAAGGGGGAGAAAGATGCAATGAAAATGTAACTCATGGGATGGATAAGGACAAGGAAGTCTTTCACAAATTACTGTCACGGGTAAAATGGACTCAGTTTGAAAGATTAATTTATTGCCTATTGATAACAGACTAGAGCATTGAGAACTAAATGCTAACTAAGAAGATGTGTCTCATCTCATAATGCCTTATCTCTGCTGTTCCTTCATGGTCACTCTGCCTCTACTCCAGCGCGGGGTGCATCCCATGGGATGACATTTCTGAACCAATCCTGTGTGTGTTTCCCACAGGCTGCAGCTCTGCAAGCACTACCCCAACACAACTCCATAGTATGGGGCCCACCCTTTAGGTACTGTTCTAGCTTTGGTCCCCCAGCCCTCCTGCCCCACTGTGGGTCCCTCTCCATGAGCTGCAGCTCCAGCCTGGGCTGCTCCTGCGGGGCTCTCCGTGGGCTGTGCCTCCTTCAGGCCTCATCAACTGTTACACCATGGGCTCCTCCGTGGCTGCATGTAGAGATTTGCTCCATGCAGTGCCCAGGGGCTGTAGGGAGACAGCCTGTTCCTCTGTGGGCCTCTCCTAGGCAGCAGGGAGCTGCTGCTCTGCACCTGGAGTACCTCCTGCCCTCCTTCTGCACTACCTTGGAGGCTGCGGGGCGGTTTTCTCATGTTTCTCACTCCTGTCTGCCAGGTTTTTCTCATGTTTCTCACTCCTGTCTGCCAGTTGCTGTTGGACATGCTTGTTTTTTTTTTGTTTTTTTTTTAAATTTACTTTCACAGTGATAGATCTGTGTTGGAGCAGCTGGATCTGGCTGGGATCTGACACAGGGTGGTGCTGGTCTCTGCTCACAGAGGCCACTCCTGCAGCCCTCCTGCTACCAACATTTTGTCTTGTAAGTTCAGTACAAGGCTTGATGGAGTAATGATCTATCAAAGGCTAACAATCAACATGATCTTTATGGTCCCTGAAGCTTGTCTCTAACTTGCATTTTAAATGGGTGAAAATATTTGTTTTCATGCTGCATGTTGTTTTCACATCTGTCATAGTGTAAAGCATACTTACGCAGTATACTTGGGGTGGACTTACTGGTTTCTTATTTGATAGATATGCATGAGTCATTTGAAAACATAGTGAAACTGTACTGAAGGTCAAGTGTCCAAATACATTTTTTTTTCCAGTGTGTATTATCTGTTGTATTTCAGTCTGTCACTTGTTAATTTTAAACATAAAAGCTATTAGATCCTTGATTTTGCTTTGTGTAATATTACTGAAGAAATAACGTGAAGTAGTATGTTCATCCTTAGAATGTAATTTTATTACAAGTATATTTCATATTCTTTTCATTTATAGCTTGACACTTTCAGAAGTAATATCGATCTAACAAAAGAAAGTGGGAATGATGAAGCAATTATAAACAACACGTACAATCCTGAAGAACAGAGTCCCCGATTTACAAAAAATAAACTCAGAGAGAAAGCATCAATCACAGAGAAAATAAATAACGATGTTGTTAGTGGAGAGGCGAGCAAGCAAACAAAGTCTAACAAGAAGAAAAAGAAATCATTGTTACAAGAACAATTTAATGAGGAGGAAAATTTATGTGAAGCTAAGTTGGAGAGTTTTGAAAAAAAGCTTAATGATTTTCCAAAGAAAAAGGCAAAAAGTAAATCACAAACAGACGTACCTCATCAAGAAGGTGATGGGAAGATTAAAAATTCCTTCACTGAAGGGAGAAATGCAATTGAATTAGAAGAGGAAGAAGAGCTAATTCAAGCCTATCAGTTGCATGTGGCTGAGAATGAGGTAAATGCAATTAAAAAGAAAATAAGAATGAAACTTAAAGAACAGATGTCTGAATTTACCTCTGTTCAAAGCGATGAAGTTGCACTGAGTGATGAAGTGGGGAAAAAGAAGAAAGAAGTCGCAGTTGTATGCGAAGCTGAAACAAGGTATTGTGATAAGTATACCATTTGTGTATGAATCTTAAGCAACATTTTTCATATTAAGATAGTCAGGGAGTTTTTGTATTTATATGTTAAGTGATGAGCTAACTGGATAATGCTGTTATGAAATAGATGTTACAGAACAGTGTTTCAGAACACTGTTGACATTAATATTAAACTTACAGATTCTGAATCTTCCATACAATTTTTCCATATGTCATAGAATGCAATTGTTGACAGTAATCTATTACATTGCAGTGCAATGTCCCTTTCTGAGCTGCAGCATCATCCAGCAGAAGGTAACAATGAAAATCGTTTATTGGAAAGAGAATTTGTATCAGAAGAACAGAACCTGGAGAAAAGCATGGAAAAACAGAAACCTAAGGCAAAGAAGGTTAAAAAGAAAACCAAAAAAGGTCTGCTAGCAAAATGAATGTGTGCTGCTATATCCAAATCACTTTGTTTTTTTCTTTTTGTTTCTTATCTAAATATTTTGCCACTAGTACTGTCACAACAGTGGCTGAGACTGGAGTTGAAGTTGCATCTGTTTCTTTAATTAGTTGTATTTTTTTTTGCTTCCAATTCCAATAATCGGTTGTAAGGAAGTTAATTTAGTGTATCTGCATATAATCTTGAGAATTCGTTTACTGGAGTTAGTTTTAAAATTGTGAAGAAGTGTATTTTAGGAATAATATAGTATTTTATATATATACACTAGCTTTATAGATTATTATTTAGTTTCATATTCTAATTACCTTTTGATTATTTAATCACATCTTACTTTATTAATGGCCTATTGTCACTGTTTTAACCTGTTGCTCAGTTCAAACATGAGAAATACTTTTTCAGGTAGCACATAGTCATATTGGAGAATTAATTTCCTCAAATATCGCAGAGTCCAAAATAGGAAGCAATTTTTTTAAAAAGGGGCATAACACAAATTCATGTTTTGCTAACTATTAAGCATGGCTTAATAGTAACTGTTAGTTCTAAATTGGGATGTTCTTCAGCCAGTGTTTGATAGATTCTGGGTGAATGCACTAGAGAAGGCATCAGTTGTTGCTTATATAGTTTTTAAAAAATAAAATTATAGGCCATAGCCCAGGGCAGGTTTGTGAACTATATTAATTTTTAGTAATTATGGCAGAGAAGAGCTTATGTCAATCAAGAGAAAGACCTCTGCTTTTAAATATTTTTAATAGAAATCGTTTACATGCATTTATATATATTGTGTGCATTCAACCATGTTTAAAATGTTGCAAATTTTATGATTTTATTCTAGTCTAGTACAAAAAGAACATATGAAATACTAGTACTTTACCATTGAATGTTATGAGAATATGAAATATTTTTACTCATTAAGTTGCTGTTAAGCTGCTACAGTAATCTGTGTTTTGTATTTTTTTGTTTGTTTCTTACTGTTTGTAGAAGATAACACAGGCGTTACTACAGAAAATGATGAGGAAATGAGGACTTCAGAAATTTCAACTCAGTCTAAATTTGGTTCTGATGATGATCTTGTGTTGGGAATTTATATCCATCGATCTGATCGACTTAAAACTGATCTTGTATCTCATCCTGTAGTTAAAATCCATATCGTTGATCAGAAAAGTGGCTTATATGTCAAGAAGGATCATAGGTGACTTTTGTGTAGTGAACTGTTTCTGTTGTCTATGATTGTTATAAATATGTATTTTTTTTTATCCCTATAAAATGGAATGTGAAAATAACACTGAATTTGAAGCTTGTAAGGTCTCTTGGCAGCTTCTCATTCTTTGGTAATGCATACTAATACCTAGATACCTAGTAGATTAGGATGATGTTTGTTCTTTTTCGACTCTTTCAAATGATCTGTGCTATTTTTTAATTGTTTTTAAGGTCTGCATGTTTACCGCACTGTTTATTCTGTATTCTTTCCTGAGAGGCAATTTCTCAAATTTTCTTGGCTCAGATGCCAAGTAAGCACACACAACTCTTGTGGCGTAACCAGCATTTGCCTTTTCACTTTCGTAAAATAACTTCTAAAATCTTTAAGTGAAGTTCAGTTCTTTACATTTTTCTAATCACTTTCGTTACTTCCTTTCACGGTTATTATCTATAATTATCCTGAAAACCAAATTCTAACACTTTTTATGCCATAGACTCTATCAGAATCATTATGCATAGATTTGGTCAAAGTAGCATGACTGTTAGAATTTTTAAATTCACTGTGCCACGTTTCTATGTACATTGCCAATTGCTTTAACCGTTGTGTGTGGTTTTTTTTTCCTAAAATCAAATGTTATCTTGTATTTTTCCTTGCTTTTGTTAATTAAAGTTACTGTTTGAGTTTTGTTTTTAAGATATTTGGTTTTAAGGCATTATAACAATTATAACTTTTTGTAAATTTTTATACAGGGAGAGGAAAGTTGTGTCTTACTCTGAGGAAGAGCAAATCGACCACATTCTTCCTATTATGACGCAGCCGTATGACTTTAGACAATTTAAATCAACAGTCCCAGAATGGGAAGAACAAGTCATATTTAATGAGCGCTTTAATTATTTTATTCAAAATACTGAAGAAAGCCCTCAAGTAATTCTGTTTTTTGAGGTAAGATAAAATATTTCAATGTTTTGATTGTTATGATCTTGTAAAGTTTGTGTTTATTCAAGAGTGTATATATGGCTTATTCAAGTGTTTTATTTCAGTTATATTGAATTACAAGGTAAGCTTTAATATATATAGCATTAAGTGGAGGTTTCACAAAGTAGTATTGGTGATTGTTAACATCACTTATTTAAAAGCCAAAAAAACCCTGATCTGTAAGAAGAATCAAGCTTTCTTATGAACGCGGTTAACAAATTCAATGTTCAAAGGCTCATTCAGATCACTCCAAATCTGGAGGGATGATACCACATAAAGAAGATAATACTTTCTTTTCCACATTCATCTTTAAAACATAGAATGGCTTGAGTTAGAAGGAATGTTAGATTTTCAACCCACTTGACAATCTTGTGGGCAGGGTTGTCATCCACCAGATCAGGTTACCCAGAGCCCCATTCAACCTGCCTTGAATGCCTTCAGGGATGGGGCACCCACAGCTTCTCTGGGCAGCCTGTGCCATTACCTCACCATCCTCTCAGTAAAGAATTTCTGTCTAACATCTAATCTGACTCTCCTTCTTAGTTTAAAAATGTTCTTTCTTGTCCTGTCACTATGAGACTAAAATATAGATATCTTTTTATAAGCCCCCTTTAAGTACAAGAAGAGCACAGTAAGGTCTTTGTAGAGTACTTCTCCTGAACAAGCCTGGGTCCCTCAGCCTATCTTCATAGGAAAAGTTCTTCAGCCCTCTGAATACGGCTCATCTTCGTGGCCCCCCTAGTCTGGAAGAGCACACTGCTGACTCATGTCCAGGTTTTCATACACAAGGGCCCTCAAATCTTTCTCTGCAGGGCTGCTCTCAATGAGTTCTTCTCCCAGCCCATGCATGTATCTGGGGTGGCAATTCTTGAAATATGAAAAGAAGCTTAAGTACTGGAAACTCAAAGACAGTCTGCTTGCAGCAGCACTTCTTTTCCGTTGTACCAATGAACAAGCTGTTGCCTTGTTTTCTGTTAACATTTTAGAAATTGTAGGGTATGTCCTTTAATATAATTTTCTGCTTTAGTACTTCAGTTATTGTAAAAAGTGTATACATAGAGAGATTCTGCAGTATTTAACTGAAATTGCAAAGCTAATACAATAAATATTTCTTTGTTCCTTGTTTTTCTAATTTCAAATGCCTTACATATACGATATCACCATATGTTTTTTTTATTTTCTGTGATACTCGTAAAGGAACACATTTCTAGAATTAAGAGTCTCTAGTCAGCACAAATATAACTATAGTTGTGTGTAAAGATTCTTCATGGGAATCTTGATGGTGAAACCAAAAGTATTACTACATCAAAAACCTGCTGTTTGAACACCATGGTTTTTGAAGTATAACTTAGAAAATAAAATGATTTTAAGTTTTTTTTTATATGCTTCATAAACTTAAAGAAGTTGCTATATATGAGAAGATTCTGATCTGATGAGAAAAATGAAGGCTCTTACAGACATAACTGATGAAGTTAAGAAGGAAAATTAGCTTTTTGACTGATCTTTTCCATTTAGATTAATTTACAGCTTGTTTTGCCTGTTAGGAATGTTATTTGTAGGTATGATTTATGAACTATAGGATTTATGAAAATTATTCATGACCTTCTTCCGTTTTTTATTGAGAAAGAAGGGGGAAAAAAAATAAACCTGATCTTAAAGAAAAAAAACAGTTCTTTTTTAAAACAGGTCATAAATAATCATCAGGTAAAATCAAAAGGTCCTTTTGCTTCTAATTGTGTCATTGTGTGGAAGAAGTACTTTTTTTTTGTAATTCTATAAAACTGAAATCTGTAATAAATCACATCTAGTGTATTTTCAGCGCTATTTTTTTATTGCCATAAAGTATGTAGTCACTAAAAGTACAGTTATGTTCCTACTAATGCTTGCAGATCCTTGATTTTCTAAGTATGGATGAAGTGAAAGTCAACTCTGATGCACAGATTCAGGACTGTGGTTCCCGAAAAATCTGTTGGGCATTTCTAAAGGTATTGTAAATATTTTAAAAAAGAAAATATTAGAAACCTTTTTTATTATATAAAATAACTAATAGTATGTGGTAAATGAATATATCCAGGCAGTGGAGATGAAAAACTAATCCTTTCCTGCTTGGCTGTTCACATCCTTCCTTCTCTCTTCTCTAGATCAAGTTCACAGGAAATTCAGTAAAGAATAACTATTTTTTTGAGAGGGAATAGAATGTGGAATAATTTCCATGTTTTATTTGCTCATCAAGAGTAGAAGGAGGCTATCTCTCACAGGGAAAGGAGAAACTTGCTATTTTCAGTTGACCAGTCTTCACAAAGACTCCCTAGCCTGATAATAAAATGACTACCATTTTTAATTGTGGAGCTTGAGATGCTGCAGCAGTGAGATAGAGCCTGCATGTCACACTTTTTTAACTCTAGGTAGAGGAAACTCAAGTGTCTTCGTCTGGTCTTTTCAGATCTAACAAGGTTCTTATGTTTTAACCCGCTTCAGGGTTGTTTGTTTTTAACTATCTCTGTGGATGATAAATTTTGACAACCGTGAAGCAGTCCATAACATGAGACATACAGGAGAAGATAAATGGACTGCAAGCTTACGGGAAAGCACAGGGATCCTCCTGATCATTCTGTAATGATTCTTATCTCATCCCAAGATGATTCTACAGGAATCAGAATCCCCTGCCTGGGTGTGCATACAGCTAGAGCTGTGCTCCTGAACAAAAGGAAGGATGGATTTCAAGCTCATAAATACAAATAAAACTATGACCTGTTCTTCATTACTGTTGCATCTGTCTGCGTTATCCTTTCATCTGTCAACCAGTGTAGAAGTGTTTAGATAAGTGATGATCATTATTAATGGCAGTAGATACACAGAATGAAAAACAGTATTAACTTCTGACTTCTTTTGACAGTATGACTTAATGTTCAGAGAGGAATAGCAATTTACTTTTCTTACTCTATTTACATCAATTTCCTCTGAAGTTTGAAAAGTTTTCCTATATCTTCTGCTCTGAGTCTGTCTTACTAATGCCCTGAGCTCTAGAAATCAAAGTTATCGTAGAATCACAGAATTGCACAGGTTGGAAAAGACTTCTAAGATTATCAAGCCCAACTGCAACTTAAACATACTACCCTAAATCTAACAACCCAAGTGTGGGTGAGGAGGCAGATTTGGAAGAGATTTTTTATGGATTTACAGTCATTAAGGATTTTAGTGATTCTAGCAAATGGTTATTTAAAAAAAATAAATGAGGCTGTGGAGGTCTTCCCGTCTGCAAGATATCACTGTTGTGCTTGTGAAATGTACTCTAAGATCTAGACTACCATCTAAGTGTTAATCTACATGATTTCATGATGAAGGTATTTAATTATTTCGTTACCACTTTTAGGAATAGCAATCTTCGCCAGAGGGAAGTGGATTTCAGAATTTATGCTACATTTATTTATAATAATAGAAATAATGAAAGATTTTTGTTAGTTTTGTGTAAACATTTGTAGTGGATATGCTAAGTCATGGCCTGAACCAGTGATTGAGCACCTGGTGGGAAGGTAATGCCAACCTAGGGGAGCTCCGGTGTATGCAATACACCTGAGTGACTTGAAGGGGTGGAGCCAGGATCCATTCCCTCCAAGGTGTCTTTTAAGGGTTGGCAGTGGAGGCAGGGGTATCTTGCTGGAGATCCCTGCTTACCTGAGTCCTTCCAAAGGTGAGCAGCTTTTTTTTTTTTTTTTAAAAAAAACCATTGTTTCTGCATCTACGGCTGCTGTACTTGGGCTTATCCTCACTTACTGTGCCTGGGACTCTGCTATCCCACTGTCATTGCCGTGTTTTCAATCACATTATAGCATTACAACATTATGCACTTCTCTTTTTACTCACTTTCACAGCTTGTTGGTGCAAATGGAGTTCTAAACGTTGATGGAAAACTCCGTCTGCAATTGTATTACCCACCTTCAAAGACCAGGTCACATTCAGACGTTGTTGAAGTTTATGACTGGTGGGCAAAATGTCCTAGAAATCGTTACCCATCAACTTTATATGTTACTGTAAGAGGCATAAAATTGCCAGATCATGTAAGTTAAATTTTATATATTTACTGATACTAGGCTCCTACAGAAAAATCTGTATAAATAGCTTCAGTGTGTGTGTGTCATATGTATGTGTGCATGTATATAAATGCTAGTCTTGTGTGTAGAATGTAAAATAGTACATAACTAGCTATAATAACAACTTTGCATCTTAAGATATCCGTTCCAAACTCAGTGCTTTGTGGCTATCTTTGGAAAAATAGACACTTTCTTCCATTTGTAGCATTGCATATTCTGCCATTGACAGATTATCCAGGGTACTTTCTGGAAAAAAGATATTCTTTCTCATTAGGAGGAATGATGTTTTAAGTCACTGGACTCATGCAAATGTGTAAATTGTGTAAGTGAGAGAAACAGTAAGTCACTTATTATAATAAATTTCTTAATATTTGAGAGAGTCTCATATGTATGAGACTCTTTCCAGTCTCTTTGTTTTTCATCTGTAAAAAAAAAAAAAAAAAAAACAACGCACTTGAAGTTAAAAGTACTTTTAAATCTTTTCAGATATGATGCTGTTTATTTTCTGAACTTTTTCCCTAATAATTAGTTTTTTTGCCTTAAGGTTGCCCCTTCTTTCCATTCTATGGTGGCCGTTCAACAGGAACAAAGTAGTGCAACACTGTGTGAGGTCAATGGGGAGGGATCTAAAAAATCACGTGAAGTCAGTTCTCCAGAGGAGAAAAAAGACCAGCTAAAGTGGTCAAGGCTGCCTGGACAGGTGAGGTGTTTTATTTTCCTTTTTAAGTAAAAAAATAATTTGAAGTTTTACTACCTCTTAATAGCTTTATCTGTATGATGTGTTTTGTTCTTTCTGATGTTTTAATGCTTCATAGCACAACTAAAAGCACAAAACGCAAAGATCTCTCTGAGGTAGCAGAGAAGGCACAGCTTCCAACCAATATAGTTCACCCAACTATTTTTCTCAAAAGAGTTAAGTGTTTTTATTTCCAGAATTCTCTAGGAATCTGAAAGGCTATTCAGGTACGTAAGTAAGGAAAGTAAGAAAGTTAGGAAAACAGTTCTCAAGTTTAAGCTAAATTGTACACCTACTTTCAAGGAGAACACTTCAACATATCTAAACCTTTATTTCCCAGTAAGGCTTGCTAATTATAATGATAAAGAATAGGTAAGTCTGTTTCACAGTGCAGATTTTCTTGCTACAAATGGCAGGTTTCCTAAAATGTTTGTTCATGTTAATGTTAATTTTCCAGAAAGTGCCATTCTGCAAATAAGTGTTTATTCAAAGACAAGTGAAAGAAAAATCCTAAGAATATTAGTTTGCAATAAAAAGTAAAATTGACACTCCTTTATTCTTAACTAAGCTTCTGTTACTAACAGTGATCTGTTTTGTGATTTGATGTCCATTGAAAACATTTTTGTAATGTTAGCAGAATATTGCTCTGAAGAATACTAAAGCCAATGTTTTTCCAAAAAAAAATTAATCATTCAAGTTATTATTTTCTTTGTATACAGAAAAATTATTTTACCTTTAAAGATAAATTATCTTCAAAATATATTTTTATTTCTCCATAAATATAGATAGATGGTATTTTTCCAAAATGCTCTATTAAGAACTGAGTTCCATATGAAATATTTTTATATGAACTCAAAATTATATGAAATTTAAGTAAAAAGTTTTTTTGAAGCTGAAATTGATTCAACGTTGTAATGTTTTATTTTAGAGAGAGGTTAAAAAGCAGAAATACTCTTCCTCACATATATAGTTTTTACCAAGATGCATTTACTTGTATTCTTAAGTGAAGAATGTATACTAAATTATTTCATAAGCAGATCATAAGAATATTTCTATATTTTAAGTGCATAGAAATCTGTTCATTTGTCATTCTTAAAAATAAATCAAATTTAGGTTAAATAGTCAAATGACTACTCTGGTTTGTTTAGTTTCTCTTAAGTTTTGAATTTAGTTTTGGAGAAAAAGCCCATGGATAAAAGAGGGGGTATTTTAAGAGATGAAGAAACACTATAATACCTATGTAACTTCTTGAAAGTTAAACATTGGAAAAATAATTATAATAATAGGGGATTACAATACAGATGAGGAATGCTAAAGGTGATTTGGCGGACCAAACTTTTGTGTGCCTGTAGTTAGTTTTCTGAGCTCACACTGCAGCTATTAAATTACTAAAAGTTTTATTATGAAACTTGAGTTGCTAACTCCATAGCGTATAATACGAAGGATAGTCATGGCAAAGTGTATCTTAAAATGAAGGACGTTTTCTTAGATTTCCTTGAGTTTTAAAGACTTGTCCGTACTAAAGAAACAAATGAACATACAACTGACAAGTTAAATGTGGTGGAAGTTGCACAGAAGAACTCTCTCTGTTTATAAGGTTGATTTTCTTTTTTTCTTTTGAATTCCCTTCAAATGTTAGTAGTTTTTGAAGATTTATGCAAGACAAGAGCTGAGAAAGTGTTTCGAGTGTTGTTTTGTCAATATTTTTAACTTTGTAACCCCAATTCTTGTCTGAAAAGCTAGGCTTGTCGCATTCCAAACAAACATCTGTTTTCACTGCGAGGTGGAGATATGGGCTGTTTCTGTATTCGTTTCTCTCATGATGGAAGAACCCTGGCAGCAGCATGTGCAGGAAAGAATGGCTATCCCATTGCTTGTAAGTTGAAACTGTGGAGTATTTTTCTATAACTGATGTACTTTATCCTAATTGTTGATTTACCAATTTAAACCTGGTGAACCCGGTATCTGAAGAGTTAGGAAGGGTTAAGACATCTGTGACATCTGTGAACCACTAGATGGAAGTGTATGCTTGCTGTCCATGAACACCTAGCAACTGTTTGTTACTGTTTTCTGAAAATAAGAACATAAAGAAAATAAACTAACCTGTATTAGCAAAAACTCAGCCTCAGGCTAGATTAATCTTTGCTTTATTTGTGTACAATTGATTGTTAATGCTTTCAAATGTTTATTTTTCTATTTAAACTTTCATTAGTGTATGAAATTCCTTCTGGACAGTTCCTGAGAGAATTCTACGGTCACCTTAACATAGTGTATGATCTTTGTTGGTCAAAGGACAGTCAACACCTTCTTACTGCATCCTCTGATGGTACTGTCAGGTACGTATGATAGAAATCTTCTGGCAGACAACTTCAGTAGCATGAAAGAAAGTGACACAGTTTTGTGTGTATATATTTGAGAGTAAAACTTTCACAAAAATGGCAGCATCTAAATCTAAAGCCCAGCAAACCAATGAATAAAAAAGGCTCTATATTTCAAGAAATCATTGAGACAGTTGGAATATTCTGTCCTTGGAGAAACCGTCATATTGTGAACTCTTCATTAAACTTGCAAATTTGTACATGAGGCAGGAAATAGAAAATCTAAAATTTGTGAAATGTGTTGAAATCTGCCATTTTGCACGTATGTAAATCTTGATTTTTCTGGACATATAGCTAAATATTGCAACTTAAATTACTGTAATTGGAATTTGACTGTCTTATTTTAATGTCTGAATGTTTACACACTTTCCTCTACAATTAAAAAGTGTACTACCATGCAGTGTTAATGCTAAAATCCTAATCTGTTTGAGGTTTAGAAGCAAAACTCTCGAAACTGTAGAAAACAGGAAAATATGCCCATGACACTGCAGAATTTTGTTATGAGCAACTTCATAGGTTTTCATAGGCTTTTTTTGTTAAGTTCTTCAGATCCCTATCTACTTCTGTTATGCAATTCAGTAATGCTACAGGGAGTTGCATAATTAAAATACCAGAAGAATTGTTAAATGATATATGTGTGGAGCTTTTTTGCTATCCCCCTATCTTTTTCTGTATATGAATAAAGAGAATATATATATATATATTTTTTAATTTGGATTCAGATAAAATAAGTTTTTTTTATATTATAGGAAGTGTCAGTTTCAATTGTTTATGTTTATTTGTATGAATGCCATGAATGTTCCTGAATTCTTGAAATTTGTGGCAGCAAGATTAAACTACAGCCTTCTACCTCCTTTTCTGTGTGCTATGCATAGTCATAGTATGAGTTATTTCCTGTGTTTATTGTCCTTTACCTTCAAAGTGACTCAGTTCAGGAAAGGATTTTCTTCTTTTTCCCTTAATGTTGGAATTATTTGACCTTTGAAACATATTAGAATTAAAGAATGAGGATGGAAAGAACCTTTGTTATTTTAAAGTCATATCAGTTTATTACCTGGATCATCACTCAGAGTTGTACAAAAGCCTGAAGGGAAAACAGAGAAGTTAAGTGAATCCTTCTTTATATAGTGTTTTCTACTGGCAGTGGTGCCCTTGCGCCTACCTAAGATTTAATAGCTCGTTATTTCTGAGCACTGAATAAGCTTTTCTGCTGTTAGAGCGAAACCATTCTAAGATAGGTTTGTGACTTTGTGCATTAAGTTGCAAGTTAATGGATGTACTCTCAGGGACTGTAATTTTGTAACGAGCTCACCTCAGAGTGATCCTAGAATTCTTCAGCATTCACTGGAAACAAAACCTGGAAGGATAGCACTCAAACAATTAGATTCCATGTGCGCTCTCTGCAGTGTGCTATCTGCCTCTATTTCATAGTCCACGTACCATTGCATTTATGAGTTCATCTTAGGAAAAGGTTCAACAGATGAGCATGGAACAACACTCCTTAAAAACAAACAAACAAACAAACAAAAAAAACCAAACCCTTGATATTACAGCTGTGGATAGTAAAGGACAGGAAATAAACTCAGTTCTTACTATGCACTTATCTGAAAAAAATGTCTTTGAGATCATGATCGCCACTGTATGGTAGATAATTGTTTTTAAAATTTTCTGTGTTTTAATTTTTTTTATTGGTCCTGAATGTGTTGTTTGTGAGTTGTGTTTTTATTCTTTTTTTACTTCTATTTTGTTTTTCTTTTAATGATACCCCACTCTTAGTAATGTGTTTATAACTGAAGAAAGAAAAAAAACAAACCATTCCATGAAATACTTAGTGTATTTTAAAATGTGCAAAATATCCATTAAATAAGTACTCCTTTACCTACAAGGCAGAGTACTATGTGAGGTATTAGATGTACCTTAATTCTTGTTTGAAAACAGCGTATTAGGGGATTATATGTGGAACAAATTGGGAAGATTAAAAATGGCTGTTAAGTGTTAGCAAGCATTTGACTTTAGAACCACTAGCGTGAAGTAAGGCATCAGTTATACCTATGTATATTATTGCTTTATTCAGTAGATATCCTAACATTTTTTCCTTTTAGAATGTGGAAGATTGAAACACAGGTTGCATCTGCAAAGAAAGTTTTCCCTCATCCTTCATTTGTTTACACTGCAAAGTACCACCCAGTTTCTGACTCTTTGGTGGTGACAGGATGTTACGATGCTGTAATTAGAATATGGAATGCCAATGTGAAAGAAATCCATGGGCAACTGCTGCAAGAGCTTGATGGTCACAAAAGTTTCATCAACACACTTTGTTTTGATTCAGAAGGTATATACCTGGTATTACTTCTTCAAATATTACTCACTTCAATTGAAGACTAGTTTTGTGCAACTTGATTTATTTCCTAGAGGCAATGTGAAATGCTATGATAAAATCATTTTAGTTCTATTTGTAATTAATATATTAGTATTGTGTGTTATTTGAAACTGCTTTGGACAAGCACAAAGGGACGTGTAGTTCCTGATGTAATTGAAGGGTAATCAGGAATGGTAAGCATAGAAAAGATGAACAAACAAATGTGTAGTCACTCACCAGTGACTGGACAAATTTTGATACCAGTTTAGTTTGTATTGTCCCTATAACTATCTAATATTTGTTAGTTAATGTTTTGTATATATTGCAGCAAAAAAAAAGCAGAAGATAAAGTACAGATATTGCTATTCAGAGGATGCAAATGCATAAATATGCAGGTGGAAAGCCTGGTAGCTAGTGCAGAGAGGTAAATAGGGAAAAAAAAGCATGTTTGGATAAGGAATTGAAGCATTACATAATCATTTAAGAGCAGAAGCAGGAAGTTTGAAACCAGATTGAGAGAGCTCTCAGCACTTGAGAAGATTACATGATCAGAACAGTAACAAAGACAGATGCTCCATATTGTTTAAAGTTGCCAAGTACAAACAAATAAAAAATAGAATAACAGAAATAAGACTGAGAATTTTAATGCTAGACTGAAGTGGAAGGGTGGTGAGATAAGAGGGCAGAGATTAGTTCAAATGTTGTGAAGAATGTTAACTGGTAGATTAACAGCTGAAAGTGGGTAGTGTCACAGGTGCACCAACATAATACTCTAGTGAGGAGAGTTGAAAATGGGTGAATGAATAATGTACTTGAAAGTATTTGACTTTGGGTATCAGTGACTTCCATAGTAGTTGTGTGATTCGTTTTTGGAAATATTAATGGGTATAGTTACTAAGTAGAGGAAAAACATGCATTTTTCCTAGGCAGAATTTGTGCCTAAGTTAAGGTCAACTACTGGAACATGTTCAAGTTGCTCTTGGAGAATATATAGATAAGCACAAGATGGTCATCACTATCATTCACTATCAATAAAAGCTGGGGAATTAAGGGTTTGTGCAAAGCCCTGTGGAAAAAGGCTTGCGGGTACTGGTGGCTGGAAGGTGGTCAGACTGGATAGCAGTGTACCTTCTCAGACCAGAAACCAACTGTATTCTGGGCTGCGTTTAAAAAAAAAAAAAAAAAAAAAAAAAAGAAAAAGTGTGGCCATCAGGGTGAGGGTGCTGATCCTGCACCTCTACTCTGCGTTGATGAGACTTCACCTGGAGTACTACATCCAGATGTGAAGTCCTCACTACAAGAGACACATGGACCTGTTGGAGTGTGTCCAGAGGAGGGCCATAAAAATGATCCAAATGATGCAATATCTCTCCTATGAGGACAGGCTGTGAGAGCTGGGGCTGTTGAGATTGGAGAAGGCTCGTAGGAGACCTGAGAACAGCCTTTCAGTATCTGAAAGGAGGCTATAAGTAAAAAAGGGACTGACTCTTTAGCAAAAGCTGTTGTGAAAGGGCAAGGTTTCAAACCTTGTGAAAGAAAATGGTTTCAAACTGAAGGAGGAGAGATTGAGACTGAATATAAGGCCTTTTTTAAAAAAAAAACAAAAACAAAAAAACTATAAGGGTTGTGAAGCACTGGAGCTGGTTGCCCAAAGATGTACTGTCAAAGATGACCTGTCCCTGAAGATATTCAGTCAGGCTGGAGGGGACTCTAAGCAACCTGATCTAGATGTAGGTGTCCCTGTTCATTGCAAGAGGGTTGGACTAGATGACTTTTAAATGTTCCTTCCAACTCAACTCATGTAATTCTCTGTAATCCTCACTGAGCTATGAATGTTCAATTTTAGCATATGAATAGAAAATGAATGAATTTAATAACATTTTCAGCATCCTAGTGCCTAACTTATTTGCTAAATCCAAATTTACGGTATCAACTTTCATTCTCTAGTACAAGCAAATTGTATTTGCACTGATTATGTCACAGCAAAACATGAAGTAATTTGTATTTGCCTATTCCTGAAAATAATAGAAGCAGCTTTTTTTGTTCATAACTCCTTGTCTTTATTTGTTCTTTTGTATGGTATTCTGAATTGATTTTTTTTTTATTTCACAGGGCTCCACATGTTCTCAGGAGATAGTTCAGGAGTGATAATAGTTTGGGATACATCTGTGAAAGGAAGTTCTCAATGCCTGTTTCAACACTGGAGAATTAATAAAGTATACAGGTTTCTTAAACTAGCATTGTAATTTTTATGTGAAGTGTTGCAAATCTAGTCACTTGATTAGAATTCATTTTTTTTTAATAAATTGTTTAACTGGAAATAACTTGTTAACAATACAAAATCATGTTGTGAGTCATTGACAGCATTTTTTAATTATTTCACACGTTATTTTTGGCATATAAAACATGAAAATGCTTGAAGTTTAATTATGTCATATTAACAGATAGATGCGAATTCATTAGATTTATTCTCTAGAGAAAACAGTAAAACAGACAGTCACCTTTGTTAATACCTTTGAGGCCTAGTGTTCAGTCAGCGTTTCTGTCATCAGCTGTGTTTCAGAAGCTCACTCATAATAGAATCTGCCTTATGGTTACGAAAAGCTGATTGCTTAGGGATCTAGGATCAAACGTTTTCCTTAACCGAATAGAGTGAAGAGAGCAGGAAAAGAGCAATGGAAGAGAAAAAAGAATAATAATGTTTACAAACTTGAGTACTAAAACACAACTTTTTCTCATCTTTCTGTAGGAAATAAAAGAAAATGATCTTAAAGGAACTCCAATAAATCATTTGGAGGTGCATCCAAATGGAAGACGTTTATTAATCCATGCCAAGGACAGTACCCTGAGAATTACTGATCTCAGAATGTAAGTAGATTTGGGTATTACTGTGTGTTTACTTTTATTTTAAAATTTTCTTAGTGGAGAAATTAGACTCCATAAAACTGCTACGTGTATAATTGTGAAGAAGAAAGATGTCCTAATAATTAAAGGCAGAAATATTAGTGTTGGAAGATCATCTCAAAACACTGTTGTATTGTAGGCCTTCTGTGTGATGTTGGGTATGCCTTTTAGAATAAAATAGCTAAAAATGACTAGGTTACTCTAGAGCTTAAGGCAACGTGAAAAATAATACTCTAATCTCCTAAAGATTGCATTCCCTTTTAAAAATGGAATCTAGGCTTGAGAGTAACTTTGAAATTTTAACATTCATGTATTTCTCTTAGTTTCATATTGGGAAGTGCCTGGAAAAGTGTTTTCATGTTAAAAGTATAATGAAAATTGTCATCATGTATATTGAATAATGCAATTATGTACATATTATGGTTGTATTGAGCAAGTGGTGAGATTTTTTTTAACCTAATTCTTGATTACTTTCTTGTTTTAATAGTTGTGAATGTAAAGCTCTACTAACAGATTGCAAGAAGTGAGGTTGACAAAATCACTGGAGTTAGTGAGGTTGGATGGGACCTGAAGAGTGTCTAACCCAATCTCACTAATAAGAGGATAAGAGTAGGTTGCTCAGGCATTGTCCAATTGTGTTTTGAACGTCTCCAAAGGGAAAAGTCCGTGTCTTCTGTAAGCAACATGGTCTAGTGTTTGTACATCTTCAAAGTATGGGAAAAAAAAAAGAAGCTTAGCTGTAAATAGAATATCCTGTATTTCAGTTTGTGTCCATTGCTTCTCATCCTATCATTGAGTGAAACTTAGAAAAACCTAACTTTCATCAGGTACATACATTGATAAGATGCATCTGAACATTCTCCTCTGAAGAGTTTTACGAAGGAATGCTCTTTGTAAATGATTCATTCTCAATTTCATGGGCTCCCTTCTTTCCCTCACTGTAGAAAATCAACAGTCCCTGGTTTTCTACATGAAATTGCCTGTGGGAAATACCTTTACTCTCTGACAGCATGAGAAACCATATCTGTTTATAATGTACTTGTTTGTGTTCTCTCTTGTCATGGGCTACCACCCCCAGAGATCTCACTACTGAATGTATTGGATTGTGTGTTTGAGCTAGCTGAAGGCTTTCTAGTCCTAAAAGTGACTCTTTGTTACTGTAAATGGTAAATTATAATGACCGTGCTAGAAGGTTAAACGTATCCACTCAATGAAAGCCTGAAATCTGTAGATGAACTGAAATAACTTGTAGCCTTTTTTTTAAAGTAGATGTTGATGTCCTATCAGAACCATTTCAGAATAGTGAAGAGTTTAGTTTCAGAGAGAAAATTGGACATGCATATTTAATCTCTTTAAGGAGTTAACATGATATGCAATTGCACAATTATTTTAAGTCATCTTATCAGTAGAATACAGCACACCTTTAGCCATGTATTCCTAGTATTTTCTGTTTATCAGTTCTAGAGATCTTTGCAGGGTAAGTCAGATCAGTGAACTGATCCAGCTGAAAATCAACCTACAAAAGCAAATGATTAATATTAATTTAAATCAATTATCTAATCTAACCCATCTGATAGCTGCTAATACACTAGAGAAATGAGAGAGAGCCTGGGAAAATAAGGGTGGAGAGGTTAGCAGCAGGACTACTGCTTTGACCACAGCCCACAGTTACACTGGCTTAAATCTATCGATAAACCACAGAGTCAGATACCCGGGAATGATAAGTTTGCACGTCATCATTAACTTTTCATTCCATGCATGAGAAAAGAGGGGGTGGAGGTCACAGATCAACACAATTCACTTTGATGGCTAGTTGTTCTGAGCTGTCCTCTTTCAACTTTTAAAAATCTTTTTGAATAATGCTGTCCTGTCACTCAGGTATGTGATCAGCATTTTGTTTCAGACATTAGGGTTCCTTTCGTATAAAGGTTAGTTTCACATCATACAAAGCTATTCTACACATCTCAGAGATACTGTCTTTCTGTTCACACAACCTAAACTCTCGCTTGGGCAAATATGCTCATGCAATATGATCTTCAAAGCATCCAAAGCTTGCCAAACGTAATCGTATCTCAGATATATTTATTCAGAATATCGTTAAAAGTAATGCTGTGTCTTGTAATATAAATCACATTGCAATTCTCCTGGCTTATGTCCATTGCTTCTGCAGTAACCTTTTAAAAATTACTGTTCTCTTGGAGGGCTGTTTTTAGCCTATTACTATTTTTCTTGCCTCAAAATCTGCATCACAGTATAATTTCCTTCTCCACTTTGCACTTCTTCCATACCTCTTCCAGCTGTATGTGATGTTGGAGGTGTTCTATTGCAAGCTGAGATGCTGGTTTAAATCCTATTGCCAGTTCTGTCTTACATGATGCTTACAAATTATTTAACAAACTAGTTCATTTTTTAGATCATTATGACTATGCTGACCAGTACTTTCTCAATGATAAAGATTCCTACTCTTAAGTAGGAAAATGATGTTAAAATATTAACATTAACAGTAAAAGATGTTTGTCTAAAATTTGTTGATTCTTCTGCTGCTTTTGTAATGAAGTAAATAATAGCCTGAAAAGTTTAAGGGGAGATGCTAGATAAACTTACACATTACTGAGTTGCAGTTAAACTCATAAAGCATAATGAAAACATTTTTGGCAGAGCTTGGAATAATAGTACTAATTTCCACATTTTCTTTGAAGCCCCGAATCGGGAAAACTCAAATACCTGTATCTGTATCTATTCTCTATATCTAAGTATATACTTTTTTTTTTTTTTTAATGAAAGACAAAGGTATAAACTTTTATGAGTAATTTCAAGTTCATTTAAAAAGTAGGGAAAATAAAGGGTAAGAGTTGCACTCAGCAAAAAGTGGGTGCTTACATATTTGGGAATGACTGTTTATTTTCCTGAGATACAGGAAAGGGCTGAGACAAGAAGTTGTCTAAAATTGAAGTATCTTCTACATTTACAAACTATTCTTTATTTTCAGCTTGGCTACAAAGAAATATATAGGTGCTACAAATTACAGAGAGAAGATTCACAGCACTTTAACCCCATGTGGTACATTTCTTTTTTCTGGAAGCGAAGATGGAAAAGCATATGTATGGAATCCAGAGACAGGTAATTATCTTATGATTTTAACTGAATTTGTCAAGATTGAGAGGAAAAGGTTTTGTAAGCTTTACTGAAACACTTTTGATATGAGGTGAAACCATCAGTAAGATGTTCTTAAATCTTGGAGCCTTAGCTCCATCTTTCAAGTAACTCATTAATTTCTAGTATCTAATTGTTTAGAGGAAACAAATAAGTAGAGAGAGAATTTGTGGTATTCAGCAGGAGTGGAACATCTTAAGCTGAGCTAAAGTTCCACAGTTCGCGTGTGCAGATAAGCATCTTGAAATACACAAAAATGCTTTAAGTCAAATCAGTTTTCTTGTTGATTGTTTTTGATTTGATTTAGATTTGGGTGGTTGTTGTGTTTTTTCTTTTTTAATTTGGGGATTAGGCTATTGTTGTACAAAATGTTTCTCATTTCCCAGGGCTGATAAGAGATTCTGAGTGTGTTAGGCCTTTGGAGTATAACGGTTCTTCATAAATTATTCCTCAGACTTAATAATTTTAAAATAACTTTACTACCAAAATATTTCTGGAATATATCTAGATGAGAAAAGATAAAGACTTTGTAATCTTGATTGTATGAGGTAACAGCAAAAAAAGAACCAGCAAAAGGTAACAAATGCTCTCTAGTTTTCTTGACAAAAACTTGTCCTTGATTATGATGTAAAGAATTTTTTAAAAGGAAAAATACTAAATAATTTAAAACTGGCAGCTAGGCAACAGTTTCATTTTGAATTTCTTTCTATGTTTCCAACTAGATCAGCTCACATCCATGCCACTACATAATTTGTCTCAAAACTTAATATAAGTAGATAAATACAATACGAGAGAGAGAGACTGTGTTAATGTATTTTCGCTCAGCTTTCACTCTTTCTTTCTTTATGTACTATGTATATATTCACACACAATGTGATCATCTGAAGTGCAAATTTTATTTCATTTTTTTGAATCACGTTTTGGTCAATTTTCACTCCCATGGTCAATATTATCTAATTGATATCCACAACTAAGACAGTGAAATAAAAGCACGAGCACATGCTGTGTAGCACCACCTTTCCAGAACTTGCTTACCAGAAGAGCACAGTTCAGCTAACCTGATGCATCCTCTGGGGTTTCCTATAGCTGTTGCAACACTGCTAACCTTTCTGACTTCTTGAATAACTCAAAAGCTTGCAGTACTTTTTTGTTTTGCGTCACGTAATACTTTTCAACAAGGAAATTATATGAAGAACGTTTATTTAAAGTGGTGGTCGGTGCATTTTAAAAATATAAGCCTTAACCAACTCAAGAAGTAGTATACTCTCTAAGTACTTGACTTTTTTTCTATCTACAGTCATATATCATTGAAGTTGTTCAGCTGAATGTTTGATTCTATTTTAATAGTGTAGAAATGATTTAGCTTACAGCTTCAGAATCATTACCTACTTCAAAAAGGTAAACAAAGCCTTTAAGTGTTTTGGCACTCTGCAAAATACTGCAGTTAGTCAGCTGTATCAAATACATTTCCATGATACCAATAACTTTGTTTCACTTCTGTAGGAGATCAGGTGGCAATATATTCTGAACTTTCCTTCACATCTCCACTTCGTGACGTTGCCTTTCATCCACATGAACATATGGTGTCATTTTGTGCCTTTGGTCAAAACCAACCAATACTTGTATATATCTATGATTATAAAGGTACAGTACAAACTCTCTTTATACATATACATGTAATTTTTTTTATTTTAATAGTTATTTGCCTAGTGTTTGTACTTCTTTAAGAAAAAAAGAAATGGTCAATTGATCATAGTAAATATCCTTATCCTGGGAGATACCAAAACATGACTGGACTTAACCCGGAACAGGAAATTGGATTAGACACCACAAGTCTTTCTACTTCAACGATAGATGTATTATTGTATGTTATTGTTGTGTGATGTTGTGTGATTCTCTCAGCACTTCTTGGCAATTAGGCAGCGTTGTGCAGACACAGTGATCACTCTGACAGTAATGCCTCCTGTTTATTTCCATGGAAACTGCAACAGGTATGAAGAACTATTTGATAGAGCAAATTCTCAGCTATAAAACACTTATTTTTCAACTTAGTCACCAGCATTAGCAATGCATTTTCATTACTGATGAACAAGCACCAGTTTTCTGTGCTTGTGAAAATCTGCACCAGTGGAAGTGATCCACTGGTTCACAAGTGCTGTGACTGCTTGGAAAATGTTGCCCACGCAGTCCATCTTTCAATCCAAACATATGGAAGTGAGAATGTACCAAATCTGGACAATACAGTGAGTGTGGTAAGATAGTCTGCAGTTGCCAAGGTTGGCAATTTGCTCTTCAGATGGGTTTAGGGTCTGCTGTCGTGTTGCAAGAGAAAGGTTGTCTTAAGTTTGAACATTCAGTTTAGTCAGTATCACAGCGTAGCTGTCAGAGTTCATGGTTTGTCTGGGTACAGGAAAAGGATTACCCCTTTACTATCCCACAGGACAATGCACATCACTTTACCTGCTGAGGGCTGTGTCTTGAACTTTTACTTCAATATGGAATTCACCTCACTACTCCATGGACGACTGTTGTGACTCCTGCTTAGACTGGTGACACCATGTCTCTTGACTGGATTGCATCATTACCAGGAAACTGTCACCTTCCACCTAATACTAGTTCAATAGTTCCTGACAAACTTGCATAGGGAAGTCTTTCTTTTCTTGTGTGATTATGTGTGGGGCCCACATGGCATAAACTTTGGTGGTGATGTTTGAATATTGCATTCTTTCCAATGCATTGAAGTTGATCTTCAGTTCTATTTGCAGTTCCCTGGTTGTAATGCGCCGATTCACACAGATGAACTGATCTAGACATTCTTCATTTCATGGTGTAACAACTGTGTCTGGCCATCTGGAATGTGGCGTGTACCACTCACTGTGTTCACATCTGCTCTTTAGTCTCTGTAAACATTCAGCAAGTGTCATAGAATCACTAAGGTTTGAAAAGACCTCTAAGTAGATCTTATATTCCAGTCATCCACCTACCATCAATATTTCCTCACTAAACCATGTCCCTTAGTTCCACATCTAAGCATTTCTTGAACACCTCTTGGGATGGTGAGTCGACCACCTCCCTGAGCAGCCCGTTGCAGTACCTGACCGCTCTTTTGGAGAAGAAATTTTTCTTTAATAGCAACAGGACTAGAGATAATGGCTTCAAGCTGCTCCAGGGGAGATTCAGGTTGGATGTTTGAAAAAGTATTGGTGGTAGGTGAAAGTTGGACTACATGATCTTGGAGCTCTTTTCCAACGTTGGTGATTTGATGATTCTAAATATCCAAACTTAACCTCCCCAGTGCAACTTGAGGCCATTTTCTCTACTTCTATTGCTAGTTATTGTGAAGAGGAGGTCAACACTTCACCACAACCTCCTTTCAGGTAGTTGTAGAGAGCATTAACGTCACCCCTGAGCCTCATCCTCTCCAGACTAAACAGTCCTAGTTTCCTGAGACACTCCTCATAAGATTTGTGCTCCAGACCTCTCACTAGCACAATTGTCCTTCTCTGGATGCACTCCAGGTTCTCCTTTAGTGAGGGGCAGAAAACTGAATACAGTATTTGAGGTGCAGCCTCACCAAAGCTGAGTACAGGAGGATGATCACCTCTCTGCTCCTGCTGGCTACGCTATTTCTGATGCAAGTCAGGATGCCATGGTTGATGAATGTCAATGGGTGCTGTTTTTTCTTCACAGAGGAATTCCATTTCATGCTTTGTTTCATATACGCTTCCACGTTAGATGCCATTTTGTCAGACTGCCCCTCTCTGTCTGTTTCATGGCAACAAAATGTAACAGGATGTTAGTGGGAAGGTTCAGCCTCTACTGCCATACCACCAACGTCCACCTCTGACATCTTGGGCCAACAGAATAGGAGGCATTATTTTCAGAGCAGCCTTTGTATTACTTAAAATCCCCTTGTCAATATGAAGGTGGATTATGAAGCCAGGAAGTAACATTGTTCTGAGAATTAGTGAACAGCTTAAAAAATCTCAGTATTTCATGTTGGCTTTGTTAGTAGCGTAGAAGGTAATTGAGATCATATAGATTTTTTTAATTAACGTTAAGCTTCTGATGTGAATATGTGGCAGATGATGTTTATTTCTCATGTTATCTACTTGTTAAAGAGAAGATGGTCAGAAATGTTAGCTGTGAGTTTGTGGTCCGCAGAACAAAATCCAGACTGTCTTTTGCACGTTTATCTGGCTTTGTGTTTTGTGGCTAACTTTAGCAGTGTCACTGTTTCAACTAAGGATGTATTATTAGATTTTCATAGTAGATAATGTGAGTGAGAATTAAGCATTAAATTTTGCTTATCTCTGACAGATTCTTTTGTTTAATTTGTTTGCCATGAATGTAGGTTTATAAAGCTAATCCTGACTTTATAACTTTGCTTTTTAAATAACATGCACTACTGAGATTACTCATATCAAATCTCACAGTTCAAGTTATTTGTCTATTGAACCACTTGACTTTTACAGGAAAGTAAAGTGGAATGACTTTGCAGTCAATATTTAGTACTAAACTTCAACCTAGTATGGTACATGCATTCTAGAGAGCAATGGAAAATTTGTCAGTTGAAGGATTCCTTTAAAACAAATTTAGTACTTTTCAGTAGGCAGTGAATCTTTAAAAAGCTAATAATGTATGTGCACGTATATTTAGAGATCACACTGATATCACACTGGTAGTTATTTGTATCATCTGACTTTAACTAAGTCACTGGTGGCAGTAAGATTTTGCATAGGTTGTGGTTTTTTCTACGTTGTCTGTTACTAACTTTTTGTTCCTTTTCTGGCTGAAAGCACACACTGCTTTCAGAAGATAGTCTTATTGCTGCAGTGTTGAAAGAGTTAATCATACAGTAATATTAATTTTAGTCATTGACACAGTTTTTTTCAGACTCCAACAGTATGTTTTACACACACCAGAAGTTTTATAAATACCTTGGACAGAAGTTACATGTAAAATTCTGTTAACATTTATTGACTTGAGAAAATTACAAAATTCAAATTATTTGTTTAAATGAGAGTGCACGCAGCTTCCATCGAAAGTATCCTGTTCTAGATGAGTCAGCTGCTTCCTAAGAAGAACTCCTGTACTTATACACGTGTCTAACAAAGAAAATTTCAGAGCAGGTATAACAAGCTTATTTGAACTTATTGCAAGCTATATATTTCCTCGCTTTTGAAAATATTTTCCCATCGTCAGTGTTTCTTTGTGGAGAATGCCGTTGTTTATCAGCAATACCATAATATGAGTGCAGAATGAAAGGTTACTGAACAAAGATAACAGAAGGGAGGCATTGTGATTAGGAAGCATATGGGGAAAGTTTCATGTCTTTTTGAGGTTTTCTCCTTAGCACTATTAGTACAAATTCTGATGGTGTTTCACTGAAGATGTGACTGGCAAAATGATAGAGGTCACTGAACATTTTTTTTCTCTTGACAATGTAAGTCTTCACCTGTCACATTAATATTGGTTGTTTTCACAGTTGCACAACAAGAAGCTGAACTTGTAAAGGATCTCAGCTCATCACTTAGCACAGCTGCACCAAGAGGCCCGCAAATTATTAGCAGTTTTTCTGAAATTCCTATGCAAAAAAGTTCAATGATGTCTCCAGCAGATCAGTTTGCCAGTGTTGCAAGAACATCAATGCGAATGCAAAAGCTGAAACAAAAACTTGATTCTGTAATGGTAAGTCATTTTTTTTCTATTTTGCAGGAGTATGCAGTTTTCTCAAAGTTCATATTCTTATAGTAGTTTATGTAGCAAAACATATGTGTATAGTCTTGAGATCTCTTCAGAAATGAATACATATTTCTGTAATGTTGTTGCACCCCTGACTAACTCTTTAGAAGAGATCAATCACATAAAGCTTAACACTTGGTTGTTTTTTTTGTTTTTTTTATAAATTACTGGTGGTTAGGAATGGATTTTTTCAATGCCTATTGCCATTCATACTGTCTACTCCCTGGATCACTGTAGCTAAGCTTTAGAAAAGTTGTTGGTTATTATTTCTTTTCATCTATTCACCTATAGAACTGTTTGGCCTAAGGAACAGGAGTTTCATGTCAGAGGATTGACTGTGTAGGGCTCAACTATGTGGGATGAATTGCCTTCTGTTGGGCGTAGCCATTTCCAGTAAGCTCCTTAAAAGGAGTTTGGACCCACTTCATGATGAAACTGAAAATGATCAGAAAAGCATATGGTACCTCCAGAAAAACATAGTTAAGGGAAAATGTAGCTGCAAGGGGCAGGAGGTACAGAAGGTGCAAAGGGAAGCACATGAGGAGGCATGTTTGGAAATAAAGAAGAAAGGATTTGAGGAAGAAACACAGAGCCATGCACAAATGGAGCTACAGAATGAGATAATGGAAAAGGCACAAAGGGAAGCATGAGAGAAGGTGTGTGAGGACACAGAAGAAAAGATAGGAGTATGTACATCCCTCAAAGAACTGCAACCCGTGAGAAATCCCTGCTGGAGCAGGTACAACTCCTGAGGGGACTTTGACCTGTAGAGGACCCACACCAAAGCTATTGAAAAGGGTAAGAAACAGTGACAGACCAAGAAATACTGCTAGTCACTAACCCATCTTCTGCACTATACATTGCTTTACCTTTTAAACGGACTAAGTGTTACACAGCATTAAAACAAGGCAGCTAGAGACTACAAAAAGGGAAGATGTGTTTCAAATGAAGTTGAAGCAGATAAAGAGGAAGGAGAGATGTTTTCTTACAGTATTTTTTTTTACTGCCTTGCTTGTTTCTCAGTAATTAAAAGCTTTTGTAATTAACAATAAATTCAAGTAAGCAAAATTCACCAACTTCAGACTACCTCACTTTTGACAAGAATGCAAAATATTTCAAAACTGTGCAGTTATAATTAATATTTGCAATTACATGAACTGCATTTGGGTTTCCATGTATTATTTTTCATTTTAAGTACTTTTTAGTGCATGTTGATTTTTATGTAGCCTTAGGCTTTGTCTGCATTAATAATAGTGAAGCAGAAACATACTGGTCATTAGATAAAAGTACTTGTTACTGAGGACCCTGTAGCTATTCTCATCAAATTTTAGAGGTTTTCATTAGGATTATATCTAGTCTGGTTCTCTGGCCTATACATCCCCATTATGCTTTATTATGAGACAATGAGAGACATAATACGAAGATAATTGAGCATCTAACCTTGCATTTGGGGAAAATTCTTTAGAAAGATTTTCAGGGAGAAAAGATTCTTGCTCTTCTGCATGTCTTTTTCTGAAGAAGATGATGGAGATAATAAATTTCTTGAAGGTTTTTTTTGTTGTTGTTACAGCAGTTTGATCCAAGGATTCTGGATTCTGGGAGACAAATCTGTTTTAGTAGGGTCATGTGACAGTTAGACTATAGAATGATGATTATGAGCTTTTAATTTTGGTTTCTGTAAAGTACATTGAGATCTTCTGACAAGAATTTTGTACTACATGTTTCCTGTAGTTAGATGAAATGGTGTAAACTTTGTGTGTTTAAGAGGATGACTTTCAGCTGCTATCGTTTTGTAATCCTAACCTCTCATTTTTAAATGACAGACCAGTTTAGGATGAACAAGTCCACTGTTAGCAGAAGTGTGACCAAAGTCTTGGACAGCATCCTCCAAGCCCTCTGCTTGTGGACCATATATTAGGGAGATTTTGGAAAGGTCATCTGAACCCTTTCGCTGTATGGGTTTCTAAACAGTGCAGGACGGCATTTGAAAAAGTCCACATCCAGTCTGATCTCTGTCCCACGGAAGTCTGTGAATGATGATGATCCCTCACAGGGATTTTTTAAGTTATAAGAAGAGGAATTTTACAGCAGAGCAGGACCTCTGTAGCCAGGACACAGACGTGCTGCCAAAAACACCTAGCTGTCCTCCTAAATCTTTCAAAAACAGCCTTCATCTTCTGAACTTTATCCAGCGTTCATCACAGGTTCTTCTTATGTTTAGTGATGGTCCTGAAATCAGCAGTTTGCCAATACCAGTGGCATAAAGTTCTTGTGCTTACAGAGGAGTTTTTGAATGCTCACTATAAATTGTTGAACAATGTCATTTCCTTGGGTGGGTAGCACTGCTCTGGGTGACTGAAGAGGTATGTTACCACTAGATGAAACAAACAGTTGAAGAAGAGCAGTACTAGAAAGAAAAGCCTTAGCACAGGGAACATCAGCAGAAGGAAGGGCTTATAAAAAGGAGAGAAGGACAGTAAGCAAGAGAAATCCAGTTCTTGTAGATTAGAATCGCTCTGCAGTGCAAAGTGCACACAATAAGTGACAATGACTCTGGGATATACTCAAAAAGTGCATTACTTCTTCAAGTTGAAGATATGAATGTAGATGCACTTTTAGTTTTACTTTCTTGGAAAGTAGTCATGCATGTAGATTGAAAGACTGCTTGATTCTGCTATGCATGGGAACGTTTTACATGATTTTTCAGTGAATCTCACATGATGCTTCTGCCTTGACTTGCAGGCATAGTATAGGCCTTCCTTTTCTTTGGAAATTTGTTAAAGATTTGCTTAAATAACTATAGGAGTTGGCTTTATAGTTTTTAGTAATCAGTCTTCCACTTAAAGTTTTGTTAAAGGAGTTCAGTCTGCACAACTTGGATAAAATAATACAGTGACTGTTCCATTTCTGGACCATACAGCTTACTTACCACAGCAAAGGTGGCAGTTTCTTAAAACCTCCAGTGCAAAGGCACGCTCAGATTATATAACCAGTGTAAACAACCAGGTAAAACCAAATTGTTCCATGAGTAGCACAACATATGAAGTATGGTTTCCTGTGGTTTTCATTTGTCTCCTTCCTGCCTGGATTTTATTGCATTTGATAGAGGTTGTTTTTTGCCAGCTTTTGCCAAGGTTTCTCTTAATGTATAGACTTATTCAAGTTCTTGTTTTCTATTCTACAATTTACTTTCATCAAACTCACCACCCAGCACCTCACTGTGCTCACACCCACTGTTTGGTCTCCATAAAAATTCAGCGTCAGTGAATGTTAATGGGTGCAATTTTTTCTGCATGGAGGGATTCAGTAACACGTTTGCTTCATATGCACTTCCATGCAGGATAACATTTTGTCCGGCTGCCCCTCTGCTGCCATCTGTCACACAGCAACAACATGTAACAGAATATTGATGGGAAGGTTCAACCTCTGTTGTCATACCACCAGCATCCACCTCTGATGTCATGGGCCAGTGCAATAAAATAGGTGGCATTGATTTTGGGGCAGCACTTGTATTACTTATTTCTGCCTTGGGGAATTAATGCTGAGATACATTTATATTCTCAGAAGTTTTTGATAGAAAAACACTTAACCCTTCTTTAGACATAGAGAGGTCACTTAAATGCTTTTCTTTCAGTGTTTCTATTTATGTACTTAAAATTTCACTTCCACCTATCAATCAAAATATGTGTTTATATTTTTCATAATGAGGATAATATATGATATGTAAAAACAGAGAGAAGTGCTTCTTGTAGAAGTAAAATATCCTAGCTGTGATTTTTTTTTTAATTATTTTTTTTGGGGGGGGGTCGAAAACTCCATGCAATAACTTGAAAGAGAAAAAAATCTTAATGACAACATCTGTTTATACTCTGTAGTACTAATCCTGGAATCAATTACATGTTGGTTGCCTCATCTCTTAGTATGTGAATAATTCTAAATTAAGGATGCTTGGCTTTTCCAGTCATCTTCACAGCATATTTCTGTGTAAAAATACTATGAAAATGTTATAGAAATGATTGTCAAAATTCTGTTACTCAAATTTTTCAATGCTATATGCGGAATTCTTTCCTATACAATGGACTACCAACAACTGTTTGGTGGCTTTTTTTTGGTTCCTTGACCATATTACTACACCAGAATTCATTGAGAGAATAGGTACTGGGAGAACATCCAGAAGTATTTTACCTCAGATTACGTTTAATATATTGAACTTTGATGATGAAGCTGTATGACTGTATTTTGATACCTGATACTTTTGGTATGTACTATTTTTCTTTCCATGACTTTCACTTTATATAGAAAGTATGTCAGACATGAGAAATGTATTGCAGTCATTTTCTGGCATAAATTTATAGCCATTGTAACTATTTTATCTGAGGATGAATGAAGATGATGATAAGCATTTTAATGTGTGTGGATTTTGCTGATTGATCCTTTAATTTTATTTATTAAAATTAGTTTTCTTGCCAGTAATGTTTGTCTAAAATTAAAGAAATGTTACTCACTGTTTTCTCCCTGCTGAACAAAGAGGACAGGGATATCTGAGCAATGTCATGTTTATTCAAATCATATATAGAGCAGAGAAAGCTTGGCTCAGTCATACTGGTAAAAGAGAACAAATTATATCTGCTTGTGCAAACAGCCTTATTATCACCAAAGTGCGGAGAAAGCAGCTTTTGTTAACAAGGACATTTTATGGAAGAAAAGACCATAAATGTACACTGATTCAATTCACTTGATTGCCCACTTTTTAAATTAATGTTTATTGGGAGTGGAGATACTTTCCTTCAACATGTTGGGTGTGGGAGGAACGCAGTTTGTGGCTCAAATCAAGAGGAGTGTGGATGCCCCCTTCCTTGGAGATATTTAAGGCCTAGTTGGATGGGGCCCTGGGCAGTCTGATCTAGTACTTGATCTAGTGGCTGACAACCCTGCCTGTGGCAAGGGGATTGGAACTTGATGGTCCTTGGGGTCCCTTCCAACCCAAGCCATTCTATGCTGATTTTATGATATGCATGATTAAACCTCAAATGATTTTAGTAGTTTTGCAAATTCCTTTGAATTTTCTGTTAACTGGAGTAAGCAATTCATTTCTTATTCAAACAAAAAGAGATTAACTACAGATTTACATTCAAAAGTGCTGCTTTATTATGAGGAAATTGTCAGGGTTGTTTTGGGTTTTTTTTGCTTTCTCTACGTGTGCTTTACAGTTAATCTCTGGAGTAAGCAAATGAAGACTAGTCAACACAAATTAGATTACAATTTTTGTTTAAGTGCTTCATTTTAGAAGCAATGTAATGAAATGCAAACTGGTTTCTAGAAATTCACTTTTCTGTGGTCTAGAATAATAGGGATGATAATGAGATTTTCACCAGGAAAAAAAAAAAAAAAAGAAGAAGAAAACCTGATTTCTTTACTTTTCCAGAGATGTTCAAAAGGTGAAGTTCTACCTAGGAAAAATTTATATGTGGTAGGAAGAACCTAGAGTTTAAGCAAATGCTTTGGTAAAGATGAATTAACGCTGGGAAGGAGCTTACAAATGTCTGACTATTTACATGGTTACCTGAAACTGCATGCTGTGTTTAGGATTATGTCCTAATGGCTTTTACCATCAAATGGAGAGGAATTTGTTTCTATACATAATTAAGCAGCTGTCAGTCAAAGAGTTTCTGGTGTCTGTTTTCTTTAGAAGGAGGAGAAATAAAATCACAAGACAATATTTGGGTCCATTTTGAATGAAATGCAAGTTGCATCTATTTTCATTTCCATTAAAAGGTTATTTGCTTTCTTTAACTAGTAAAGAAAAGTCATGGATTTTTTTTTTTATCCTATCCTATTTTTGATAGCAAGAATCAAAACCAACCTTGATGGAGTCCCTTTATGTATAGCCTACAGGGTTTTACTGTGCTAAGATCTAGTTTTTACTTCTTATGCTGATGCCATTCTGCTATCATGTGTATTTCCATGCATGTTTGCATGCTGAAGAAATACCAGTTTTCTCCAAACCAGGAAAGATCATACTCTCTGAGTATGACTGAGTGAAGCTGCATGGTATAGCAACTGTTTTGTACCTTGAACAAAGAATTTGGTTTTCCTTGTGACTAAAAGAAAGAAGCTTAATACTTTTAATTCTTAACAACAACAACAAAATCTTAAAAAGGATGAAAGGTTTTGCGGTAAGCTTGTCATTGAAATTCAGGAACTCTGTGACGTTACTTAGGACTGGAATATATATAATTGCTGTGAGTTGAGATACATCTGCTACAGACAATGGCTTTGTCCGTACTGAACAAAACTGAAACAGTGAGAGGTGGTATAGAGCTGGCCAACTTGATTTGACTTGCAAGTAAGAATGTATATATGGAAATCTTGCTTTGTATTGATTGGAAAGATCATAAAATTGCATTCTTATGAAAAAAAAAAAAGAAGGTCCTTGTCAGCATGTGAAGTTTTATAGTATTCTGTTTTTCTGTCTCTCAGAATTTAGTTTTAATGTAAAAACTAGTTCTACTGAAAGTGCTTATTTGCATAATTTGCATAGAGCTCCCCAAACACAAAAAAAGAAAAATGCAAATCAGCTTTGTTTAAACTTGGCAAAAATTATCTAGGTATCCTTTATTGCTACAAAAACTACACAAATGTTATAACTCTTAGTTTTACTCAATTCAGGATAGTAGCAAACTGTGTCTTTGATAAAACTGTGGTTTTTGCATGAAGCAAGCAAAGCCTGTTGTGAAAAATAAGTAGATTGATGGTTGGTCATCTTAGCCAACTTTGCTCGTTGTTGTAAAGATATTTAGCAATGTCTTCCCTCAGCATGAATTTCAAAAAAAAAAAAGTGAAAGATTGCTTCACTCTATTCTGTAGCCTTCTGTGTCCGTTGTAGGAGAATTAATTACTCTTCATAAGACATCATACTTTACCTAGAAACACCTATGTGAATCATCAGTTCTCATTTTAAAGCTGAATGATTCCTTTCTCTGTTATAATATTGTCAGCGATTTTTTTTCTTTCTGGACCTTTTAAGAGATTTAAATAATACTTGGGAGCATGGCACTGAGGTCATAAAAGCTCGTATTCTGCATTTAGTTCAGATGGGCAGTCTTGTATATTTCACCTGCAGTGAACTTCACTGCTATTAAGTGGAGGAATGCATCACTCTTGTGAGATTTCTTACATTTAAAATAGAGGTGTCCAACCTAACATAATATAATTCAAGCACCACAATCAAGACAATTTTCTCTTGATTCCCTCCCCACTCCCTGGGATGAGCCAGAGAAGTTAAGTGTTTCTAAAAGCTAGTTTCAAATAGTTTGCTCTGCTTTCTTTAGTTTGATGACCAAAGGCTGATACATTCAACCTGTCTTGATTCCCTATTGCACTGGGAACCAATTGTTTGCTGTCAGAGGAATTCCAAAAAGTTTCATGAGTATTCTTAACTGGAAAGTATGCTTTTGTTCCATTGATGATGGGAAAAAAACTATAATGTGTGCCCATCACAGATTTCATGCAAGGGGCTGATCTTCTAGTTTGTCTTCCTGCAGAAATGCCCCCACTGTAGTTAACAGTCAGTAACAGGAGATGAAATACTGGGAAACTGAGCTCAACAAGTTTGCATAACAAGATTGCTTTTCTGTATTTGAGTAAAGATATAAAGCTAATGGCTTTCTACTGTATTTGTGTGTATCAGAGAAAACTTCATATTAATGAAACTTAATTGCTTAGATATGTAGAATTTGCAAAAACCAGATTGGTTCTGGTGGTTGTTCAGAATAGCCCTTGCCGTTCTGCTTGCATTTCACAATTGCTGTTTATTGACATTCAGCTAAATTGAATATCTAGATGTGTTAATGCTTTTATATCATGTCCACTAGTTGTTCTGGTTGCCCAAAGATGTGGTGAATGCCCATCCCTGGAGACTTTCAAGGCCAGCCTGGACCAGGCTCTGGGCAGCCTGATCTAACTGTGGATGTCCCTGCTCATTGCAGGGTACGTGGACTGATGGCCTTTAAAGGTCACTTCCAGCTCTAAGGATTCTATGATTCTCTCTGTCCAGTTTTGGTATATGGTCCTAAGACTTGTATGCAGTTGCTGAGAGGTTTTATCAGGTGCTTCTTTCAGCGCAGTTAAGTCCATTTTACTAACCTGTCCAAAACAGTTACATTAAAGTCTAGTATAATAATGTAGAAGAGATGATAACAGATATCTTCCATGTCTCAGTCAGGTTACTCAGCATACATGATTGGTGCTGTATTACCTTCAACCCAGAGCACCTGCCAGTGGCCAAATGCTTGGCTTTATTGAGACCCACTGAGCTGTTTATTATATGGCGGAAATGGTACTTAGACAAATTATACTGCTTCTGGAAATAAGTTTGACTCTCTTTGCTGTCTCCATTTGTTAAATAAAATTTAAAAGCCAATAGATTGAAAATTAGAAAAATGTCACTGTGATATTTTGGACCCCCAAATGAAGTTTAAGTGTCTGATTAAAGATTACTGAAGCCTAAGAAAGCGCATCTCTGGAAGTAGGGTTTTAGTTGCATTAGGTGACCATACTAGATTGCGAAATGGGTCTGGGTTTTTAAAAGGATTAACAGTAATGTTTATTTAATGTAAAATAACTCTCCCCAAAATTTTAGTATTCAAATCGTTTTACAGGGGAAAGTTTCAAATATTTTAAGATCTATTTTCCTCACCTTTGGCTAGTTTACCAAAGGAAGCGAGATAAAACATTTAACAAATAGTGAAATTCTTGATTTGATTATGTGAAAACCTCTGATTGCCATATATTTTGCATAGCCTCTATGGGATAATGTATTGGGTACAGTTTGGGAAAGGTTTACGCATTGCACTAGCTTCATGTATGCCAGGAAACTCCACAGCAAATCAAATTTTAACTACATTATGTTTGTTGTTATGGAAATTATGACTACATGTATTTTTTGTGAAGCTTACTTGAAGGATGTGTCTGGTATTTTGGACAAAGTGTGCTATACTGACTTGCAGAAATAAGTTTGGTGTGTTAGGACTGATTTAAGACTTTTTTTTCATTTCAGACTAATATTATGTAATCTCTTCTTAGATGTTGCATTGTTTGAGTATTGAAAAGTGAGAAGTTATTTTAAATATTGCAGTTTATAACCGTATATAAATGCCATTTAATTTTTATGTACTATGATGCAACAAGATGATAATTTAGACTTTTTTTTTACACTTTTCACTACTTGAGAATTTGTGTCTCTGAAAAAATGTGATTTGTTTGTAGATCTGTCAATACTTTTTCCACAACTAAATGTCCAAAAAACCTACCCATGGAAATTGCTATTAGCTGTCTGCTTGTCTTGTATTTTTTCCTATATTTTAATAATTCTTTAGAATGAGTAATTGTTTCTCTATATGATGTTGCATCAAGTAACCCAGGAAATTACACGTTGGTTTCTGATTTGTCTTTCCTATTACAGACAAGCTCAAATCTCTTGCTTCCTGCTACATCATCGCTGTCGCCGCACTCCAAACTAAGACTGCCGAACACTTTGAGCACGCCACTGAATCCTCTGTATTCTTTCTCAGGTAAAAGCGGTATGTGTCTTTCTTTATATGATTACTCTGTCTAGTGAATGTGTCAAAACTTCCGTGACATTTTTTTTTCTATCTTTATAAATTTTTCTTTGTAGCTCTTCCAGGGAGTGGCTAGTTTGTTAAATGTGATTATCACATTCCACTCATGAAGGGAGAGATATGTGACCAGATTTGCAAATCCCTACAGTTAGATTAAGGTGAAATGCACTCAGAGTCCAAACACAATGATCAATTTTAATGAGAATTTCTGCAATGCAATTATCTTAAAAGTATTGGCACTCTTACAATTCTGTTTATCTAAGCTGTGCAGCTAAACCAGGCAACTTTATAGAGTCTTGCATTACTTAGCAACTTTAAAAGACTGGGGAAAAAAGGGAGAAAGAGAGAAAGAGATGGACTGAATAGGTGATCTCTGGCCAGGTACCAACACTTATCCAGCTAGTGGTGATCCTCTGTCTGTGAGAACGCTCATCCAGAATTCTCTTAGGAATTCTTGTATGCCTGCTAGATGTTGGGGTCCACAATTATTATCAATTGATCACTCTGTCCTCCTTGAACGTGGGAATTTGGGCCAGAATGAGATCATAGTATCTCTACAGTGCTCCTTCCTCCGACCACATCATTGAGCTGTTTGTCTATTGTCATGGTGATGGTTTTATCTTGCGCATGTTTGAGACAATTCCAGGCATACCACAGATAGAGTTTCTTGTAGATCTGCTACAGTGATATTGTATTTTTCTTTAAGTTGTGCATCTATTTATTAGTGCTGTAAGTTGCTAGAACAGTGTGTGATTGCCAACTTTTCTTAATTTAACTTTTTTTTAATGTATCTTGAGCACAGGAACTGCAAAACAATGAAACCGTATTTTTAAAATCATACATATTAATGTAGGAAACCAGCAGTAAGAAAAGTAGTTTATTTAGCAGTACTGCTCAGTAGTCTGTTTGCACTTGTATTTTGTCCATATTTAAGAGGTGCTTTTTTTCCTAAAACATTTTGTGTTCAAAGATTTTGAGGAAAATTTAAGCAATGAACCTGTGTGTTTTTGTGGTGCTTATTTTCCACGGTGGAATCTTAGTTTCCAAGTGCTTCTGGTTTTGTATCTTTGAGAAAAGTAGAAAGAAGTCTGCGAAATGGTGATCTGAAGAAAGGTAGCAGAGATTTAAAATGTTGATAGTACAGAAAGCAATGGTATCTATAATTATACAGAATTATCTCCTAATGGGAGATTGTTTTCTTTGCGAATCATGTTTGGATTACATTATATATTTATTAAGAATGAGTCCTCAGCATGTACCAGAAGATGAACCAATCTTGCAGTCACTTTTAGCTTCAGCACAAATGGTTAACTACCAATTAAGTTCTTCATTTGTTTTTCTATTTTATGAAAAGAGCTGTTGGAGCCATAATATTGATGTATTTCTGAGCAAGTGCTTGTTGCTTCTAGCACATGAAAATCTTACATAAAGAGGATACATATTCTGTCTTGTACTTATTCTGTTGTTACTTGTTAAAGTAAGTGGTTACGATAAGTGGGCTTGTCCTCTAAAGGACTTCAACATATACTTTGTTTCAAACGTGTATATGTAATAGTACTCAAAGCAGCTCTCTTGGAGTTGTAGAAACACAGATGAACTTGTTGATGGAGACTTCTTAAATAGCATGTTCAAACAGATATGTGCTGAGATGTTTGTGTGCTTCCAAAACAGTTGTTGCAGAAAATGACTAATATCGCAACAAAATCCTTAGATACAGAGTGTTAATTATAGAGAAGTATAGTAAAAAGAAATACATTTTAATGGGCTTTCTTCAGTCAATGAAGGCAGTAAGAAAATGAAGTTTTCTAAGAGAAGAAGACCATGAAAAATTCAGTGGCATATGAATGAAATAGATTTCCTTTAAGAAAATTTGAAAAATCCTAAATGATTTTTATCTGTCATTTTGGAGAGTCTCAAGTTCTACTGATGTGACAGAATTGTCATCTTTGAAATGCAGGAGAAAGCTCTACTTACCTAGTTAGTCTTTCCCCATTTGTTATTAAGTGTGGTTTTAGCTATGAACTGCTAATTTAGTTTCACTTTTGGACATGATATAGTATATACTAAACCAGATCTACTTACCTGTGGAATGTGCTGGAAGAAGAAAACCTTTTTTTTTTTATTTTTAAAATGTACGTATGCACTATTTTCTTATCGTAAAATAATATGGCATCATTAACTGCCTGTAATACAAGAACCACTCACTTTTATTTAGTGGATGTTTGCCTCTTCCTGAGGGTTATGCTGGCTGTTACTCTTTCTTCCTCACACTTTCCTGTCACCTTTTTGCTGTGTATGTAATGCATCTCAAAACAAATTGCAGAATCCCCATTACAGTGGAATCCATAAAGATAGCATGTGTAAAGTCCTGTTAGCAGTCTCTTTAACTCTGTACCTGCTGTATGTTCTTGTTCTATTAACATTGCAGTTACGTCTTGAGATATGGACAGTATGGTAGCCTGGATACATGCAGCAATTTATTATTTTAACATAACAAATGTCTAGGTCTTCCATTAGGTAGAAACAGTGGAAGAACTGATTATTTAACTTTGTGATTATCAGCAATAATATTAATGCTGCAAATCTTTCCTGACTTTTAAATTTTGTTATATCTAGTAGAGGCCAACCCCTGCCTCACTGTCAGGCAGTTGTAGAGAGTGATAAGGCCGCCTCTGAGCCTTCTCCAGACTAAATAATCCTAGTCCTCTCAGCCACTCCCCATAAGACTTATGCACCAGACCGTTCACCAGCTGTGTTGCCTTTCTTTGGACATGCTCCAGTGCCTTAATGTTTTCCCTGTAGTGAGGGGCTCAAAACTGAATGTAACACTAGAGGTGGTATCACCAGTGCCAAGTACAGAAGTAGAAGATGTTGGAAAAGCTACCACAGGGATAATTGTCTTGTGGCAGCCAAGCATTCATAGTGATATGACTTTTTGATCCTTTAATGTCAGTTTTTCCTATTATTGTAAAGCAAAATTCACCAAGCATTGTACTGTTCACCCACTAATAGGGAAAGTGAGCTGGGTTTCAAATGTCATGAGACAGGTTAATTTTGATAAAAACAAGTTGGAAGTTGCAAAAGCGCTAGCTTTCAATTGTCAGTTTACTGACGTTAAAATCTTCAGTGTTTTTTGTTTGCCTTGCCTCCTTAATATTTTAAGCATCTTTCAATGGTGAGGACACTTTCCTATGCACAAAGACATGGTTTTGCAGATGTGTGGCGTACCGTGAGAGAATTGGTTTGCATTTTATGGCTGTGTTCAGCAGTCTCTTCAGTAACTCTCACTGTATTCAGGGCCTGTTTTCTGAAATAAATTTTATGTTATAAGTAATTATAACAAGTAGTGACCCTAATTGTTAACTATGTGGAAGACTGAAACTCAACTATAAGTATTGCGTACATCCTTTCACTAAAAACTTGACTTCAAAAACCAGTTAATTAAACTTGCTCTTAAAAATTAATTACATTATGTGCTAGAAACGTGATGGTTCTTGTATCTTGAAAAAATCTCAAAAACAAAAAACTTAGTGCTTTGGCAAGGTTGAGAATAATTAGAAATTTCCTCTTCATTAACACAACTGACAGTCAAAGGTGTTTTCCACCTATATAAAGCAAGAGCTTCAAAGTGGTCTTGCTCATTCTCTGAAGATGTAAGCAAAACTGACTTTGCATTTAAGTCCTCCGTTGTATTTGATAGACTGTTCATCTTTTCAATCCCAACCAGATAGTAAATTTCTGCTTTGGACATGAAAAATATTTATGCGTCAATTAAAGACTTTTAAAATACACTTTTGTAGAATAAAGTACATCATGTAACAGAATTCACATTTTTGTGAAATCACTGAAGTGTCAAAAGTTATATCCTCATAGATAAGTTAATGCTACACTTTTTTTATTATTATTATTTTAATGTTTTATATTTCCTTCCCAATGCTATAACAGCTGTCCAAAGAGGTTGTGGATGCCCCATCCCTGGAGGCATTCAAGGCCAGGCTGGATGTGGCTCTGGGCAGCCTGGTCTAGTGGTTGGTGACCCTGCAGCAAATACCAGGGGAGTTGAAACCAGATGATCATTGTGGTCCTTTTCAACCCAAGCCATTCTATGATTCAGTGCTACCATTGCAGTGCCTGGAGACTCTAATAATTTATTGTTGTTATGGCAAATATTTTTCTTACTTAAAACATAATTTTGTGAAGCAGGGATGAGTATAGAAAGCAGGTTCAGTGTGGCCTTACTCTTTGCAACTCTTGAGAAAGAAACTATAGAGGAAAAAAAGACTTATAGAAACTATCATTAAAAATCAAATGAACAGTGAATTCGGTATTACTGTTAGAGTAGATTACTTCTCTACTGTGAAAATAAATGGCAGTAAATTAACCTGAAGAGAGTGAAGAGATATTAAAGAGGTGACAGAATGCATACGAATTGAAGACTGCTGTACGCTGTGTTGTCCCAATACAACATGCAGTGTAATATTTGTAGTGTATCTCTGATGTTTGAACAGAGTTTGGTGGCATTTTCAAAGAGAACTGAAAGTGCTGGTTAACAGACAGAAGATGACTAAGAGAAAGCATGCAGTACAGCCAGTAGCAAGCACTGCAGGCTTTCCCACACTGCTGTACAGAAGTTATATAATGCTGACCTTGAAGGACTGTTTCTGTTTAGTGGGAGTGCCAGTAGAAGTGCCGTTTAAGAGGGGTCTGTTTACGGGGACCTGATTCATGCAAACAAACTGAATGGCACGGGCATCACTGAATGTCTTTTTTTTTTTTTTTAATACCTTAGCATTACTGTAAGTACTGTATTTTATCAGATTTTACATTAGGAATAAAATCTGTTTTTTGTTTTTTTGTTTTTTTGGTTTTTTTAAGAAATAGTTAAAGTGTATAAAAGACTTATGTGGAGAAGGTAAAGTTAAACAAAGAACTCAATTTTGTTTTGAAAAATCTGGTTGTAT